AGCCTTCCGAGTAGCTGGAACTACAGGTGTGCACTACCATGCCCGGCTAATTTTTTTTTTAATTTATTTATTGTAGAGACGAAGTCTCACCAAGTTGCCCAGGTTGGTCTTGAATCCCTGGTCTCAGGCAATCCTCCCACCTCAGCCTCCCAAAGTGCTGGAATAACAGGCTTGAGCCACCTTGCTTGGCCTTAGTGGTGTTCTTTTAAGCAGTGAGTCAGCTGTTCAATGAGTGTGACTCTGTCTCAAGATGGATGAATCACTGGAGACCCAGCTCCTTTGAGGGTGGGAGAGACCTCAGTTTTCCTGACTATTAGCTTGTACCTAGGAGCTACCTCAAATGTTGACCCTGAAGGTCAGCTGGGCCTCTCCAGGTGTCAGGCGCTTACAGCTGTTGAGGCGTGACAGGGACACAGAAGCCGCTTCATGTATTTCTTCAACAAGGAATACAAACCGAGCACCCACGTGTGTAGACCTTTTTCTAGGCTCAGGGACGAGTTTTCTGAATATTGGGAGCTTTGTCTAGATGAGGAAACAGAAGGCAAACAGACCAGGTCTGCACTCTCCAAAGTGGTTGCAACTAGCCACCAGTGGTTACTTACATTTATTTCTTTATTTGGGTTGGAGTCTCACTCTGTCCCCCAGGCTAGAGTACAGTGGGACGCTCACGGCCACTGCAGCCTTGACCTGCTGGGCTCAGGCAATCCTTCCGCCTCAGCCTTCCAGGTAGCTGGAACCACAGGTGTGCACCACCACACCCGGCTAATTTTTTAAAAATTTATCATAGAGACAAGGTCTCGCCAAATTGCCCAGGCTGGTCTCGAACCCCTGGGCTCCTCAGGCAATCCTCTCGCCTGGGCCTCCCAAAGTGCTGGGATGACAGGCATTGAGTCCCTGAGCCCTACTGTGGCTATTTAAATTTTAATGAGGCCAGGTGCTGTGGCTCACGCCTGTCATCCCAACATGTTGGGAGGCCCTGGTACAAGGATGGCTTGAGTCCGGCAGTTCCAGACCAGCCTAGGCAACATAATGAGACCTCTTCTCTACCAAAAAATCAAAACATGAGCCAGGCGTGGTGACGTGTGACGATAGTCTCAGCTACGTGGGAGGCTGAGGTGGCGGGGGGAGCGGGGGAGAATTGGTTGAGTCCAGGAGGGTGAGGCTGCCCTGAGCCGTGATCGTGCCCCTGCACTCTAGCTGGTGACAGAGTGAGAACCCCCGATTCGAAAAAAAAAATGACACATTATTACAAGTGAAATTTCGGCGTCCATTTTCCAGTCACAGTCATCACATTTCAAGTGCTCAAGAGCTACCTGTCACGGGTGGCTACCCTACTGGATGACACCAATCGAGAATATCTCTATCATCACAGAAAGCTCTCCATGGGGCAGTGTGGGGAGCAGATGAGTGCTGTCCGAGCAGCAGACCTGGAGCCAAGGCAAGACCTCAGGCGAGGCCAAGGTCCTGTGTTGCTCTGCACCCTTGTCAAAAAGCAAGGGATGCAGCCTGCTGCCCGGAACAGGGTCTCAGAGCCCACACATCCAGGTGCAAATAGTACAGACAAAGCCTCAGCGACCACAAGATAACCCCGGAAAAAGTTCGCCATTTAGGTAGCAACAAAATTCCGTTATGGCTGCCTCACTGATACCTGAACCCCTCCCAATTTCCTTTGTGCTTGATTATAATATAAACATGCCGAGCTAGTTCGGGGCCACTTTTCCTCCCTCAGAGGAAAGTGCCCCACCTGGCCCAGTTTTTCTTCATGTCTTTCGGTCTGAGTCTTTCTTTTTGGTTTTTTGAGTTGGAGTCTCACTCTGTCGCCCAGACTGGAGTGCAGTGGCCACTCCCGGCCCCCGCAGCCTCGACCTGCTGGGCTCCGGCGATCCTTCCGCCCCAGCCTTCCAGTAGCTGAAACTACAGGCACGCGCTACCATGCCTGGCTAATTTTTTGATTTATTGTAGAGATGAGGTCTCGCCAAGTTGTCCTGGTGGGTCTCGAACCCGCGGGCTCAGGCAATCCACTCACCTCAGCCTCCCAAGCGTGGGATGACAGGCTGAGCCACTGAGCTCGGCTGTGTCTTTCTTAATCTCTCGCTGCTCTCTCTCGGGACCTTCACGGCGGCCACGTGGGCCGCGGCAGGGCAGCTCCGCTCTCAACACCTGTGGAGGTGACCAGGGCTGGCAGGAAGCGAAAGTCTGATGTGATAGAGCTGACTCTGCAGCTCCTTTGTGTTAGGGTGTCAGGGAAGCCTTTTCCAAGGAGGCGATACTTACATCCTACCTGAAGACAGGAGGAGCCAGCCATGCACAGTAGGGACAGAGCACCTGAGCCAGAGTGAGCGGCCAGTTCAAGGTGAAAAAAAAGAGAAAAG